AGCCCGTGCTTTTCCATAGGCCAGGAATAGAAACCAGGAATCCTGAAAGCCAGTCCTCTGTGCCAAGCTCTAGTTCATGTCTCCTCCCAAAACCAAGACGGAATTGCCCAAGCCCAGCCCTGCTCTCTTCGCAAGAGAACACTCCCTCCCAGAGTCAGGAATAGAACCCACAACCGCTCCGTCTCTAATCGCTCAGGTCTAATTGCTATGTCACAGTTGTAACAGGCAGCTCTCCACAGGATTACATTAAGCCTCTGCTTTGTATACTAACGCAGCATACGAGGAAAAGCAGTTCCCACCTCACTCGTCCAGAGTTGGTGAGCCACACAGTTTAGTCACTTGTGTTTGTATGTCTATGGGCCACAGCGATACCTTGGTTGCAAATCTATTTTGGTACATCCAGTTTGGGGCAGAAGTAGATCCGAAGCCAAGAAGGAAGCTGGCATCCTTAGGCTGTAGGCCAGAAGAAACATATTCTTCCTGGGATGCACTTCGGGATGCACCCACATGTTCTCTCCAGCGCGTGGGAATGAGGAAGGCTGAGAAGCCGTTATGGTGTACTAGCAGCATGAAGGTTCCCAGGTTGTAGCAGGGGAGTGGGAACTCCCGCTAACGAAAGGGATGGAAAGGACTAACAAAAGGGCAGAAGCCCTCTTAACCTGCCCACTACAGTTCTATTCAGAACTGGGCATTCAGTCCTATTTACTCACTGCCCAGGCTGTAGGCTTCCCTGGCATGCCCCTTCTTGGAGGTTTCTAAGGAAATGCCATTTCTATAAAGGCATGTGCCAGGTTTTGAGGGCTCTACACCTAGGCTGAGACAAAGGGGACTCAGGAGAGCTGTATACGCAGCTCTTTCGGGAACAACCAGTCTGAAGGCAGACAGGCTGCCCATCAGCTGGCAGCTATGCTGAAAAACAGATCTGAATCAACACTGGCTTACAGCACTTCTCTAAAAACATCGGTGACCCACTTTGGAAAAAACAAGCATATAGTGTTCCGTAACAGCAGGCACCACCTCCTCATCCATGCCTGACTGTTCTCAGGCGGAAAGGACTCGCCATATATGAAAGCAAAGAACTCAGCTCAACTCCCCTTACATAGAGAAAGCTGCCCTGCCATGGGCCCAGTTCTCCTCTAATACTGTTTAACTGCAAAGCGGTTTGCCTCATTTCAGTTATTTCTCCCTTACATTAGAGCAGCAAGAGAATCAGACACAGCGAGAGTTTTCTCTCAGCGAGAAAGGAACAAGTAGTGCTCAGCTGGGCCTTAAAAAGGGGAAACAAAAAAGTCATAAAAGAATCGCTTGCACTTTCTCTCAAAAGAAGCAGTTTCACTTCCCTTACAAGCAGTGGCTCTAAATAACAAGATGCCTTGAGTAACTAACTGAATGTTCTTTGGATAGAGCTTGCAAAGGAGCTTATACATATTAAACAAGAAAGAAAGATCTACTGTCTATAACTTGCTCTTTATGAACAAACAAAAGGTTTGGACTGAATCCATTTTAGGGCAAACTTTACAAGGGCCTTACACTGAAATTATTCAATAGAAAGAGAACTCAACAGAGCTCAGGGTATTTGTGAGGGGCTGACCACAAAAAGCAATATTTTTTTTTTTTAAGAAAATCAAATACTCTCTCTTTTCTTTGGCATTAGCATGATGGAGCTGTAGAGATTTAGCAATAGCACTGCATTAGCCTCTAAGAAACATACAAAACAACTGCTCCCTTAGCTAGATCAGCTGCTAGAGCAAGTGCTATAGTCACCATTATCAGAGCGGGAAGTAGAAAGGAATTCCTCGTTAATACAGAAGGGCAAGGGACTTCCACTGCAACAAGGGCCTGTGTAGTGCTAGCTGCTGCTACTAAAGTGTCTTAGTATCATAAAACATGCTCACCCAACATACTCTATTCTTCCATTATGAGGAGTGACAGTTCAGTAGGAAAGTATTTAGGTATTTAGAATTCAGTTGGAACCAGTTTTTAGCCCTTTACAAATGGTGTTTAAAGACTAAAAGAGCTGCTGCCTTTCTGTGCCTTTGCCCTGAATCTGGTATGATATTCATACAGAAGGCAAAAGCAGTGATGTGGCAGCAAGAGGGACTAGGAAAGCTTGGAGAGCTAGTGGAGGAAAAGCTGCCCTACCCTCCCTCCCTCCCTCCCCCAAACAACCTAACCCAAGAAAACCCAAAGGAAAAAAAAAACAACGTACAAAGCCTGCAAAGATGAGTTCTACAATCCAGTATGCTAGCTGAGCACACCTAGTTTGGCCAGTAAACTGTTACAAGTTAAGGCAGCTGCATTGTCCGATTAATCAGAGAAAGCTTTGAGGATGAGACTTTTCCCAGCTCTTTGCAGCTGACTGAGTAGGAAAGGTCAGATTAGGAGTTATCCTGAACACACAGCTTTCCATACTCCTGGCACACCATCTCATGCCAGCTATTCTGGAAACTGGTTCAAGTACAAATGGTATATGACTTGGAAAGACACAGAGACAAATCAGCTGCTGCAGAGAAAAGAACATTCAGTGGTTACAGGAGTAGTCTCACTTTTAGGTTCAATTCCTGCTCTGGCACATGTCCATTTTCTCAGGACAGCCTTCAAAAGGGTCCAGCCAACTCGGATCTGGCTTACCAGCTGCCTAGTCTCAGAAGTGTCTGCAGTTTGAAGTTACAGTCTCCTAGATACTTAGGTATCTAAAAGTGTTCTTCTGAACATATTGAGAAGCACATCAGAGCCTAGCAGCCCAGCATCTATTTCAAACTTAAGCTTCTCACATTCAAAAAGTGGTTTTGGCTCTTCTGGAGAGAAGCAGTATGACAAAAGTATTTCCCACTCACCTATTCAAGGTCAGCTACAACAGAGACAAAAGATTTGGGCTTGTGCTCTTATTTGCTCACTGATAAGAGATAAAGATGAACCACGATGGTTGAAGATGTTTCTTTTTTAAATTAGTACTTTTTTTTTTTCTACATTAAAAATGGAAGTGCTGCTTCACCAGAAGGCTCCAAGGTGACTACAGACCCAGTACAATGGTAAAAGCATACATCTGTGAAATTCATGTGTGAGAATTCAAAAAGCTTTCCTCAAATGTTACAAATATCATACTTAACATCACAGGCGCTCCTGAGATAAATAATTCTATTATTTAGAGAAACAAACAACTTTTAAGCTGTTTATGCCTATCAAAATGAAGGTGGGGAAAGGGCACAAAGACGAATTTCTTACATGTTCTTTGCAGGTCACATCTAATGTTATACTCCAGCTGAGACCCTGGATAAACTGCCATTATAAATAAAGTTGTGAATATCACGTGTGCAGAGCTCAGTCTCTTCATTTTAAGGGTTCATGTTTAGCTTTTTAAAAACTTCCTCGCTAAACAACATTTTAGATTATCTCCTTTTCACCTATTTTCAAGTGAAGCTTTTCTATATTTCTCCCTTTCGTGTTCATGTTTTACCTTCTTTAGACACAATCTCTCTCCTCCTTGATATGCATACAATCGTACGCCTTTTTGAGGACTCCCAGCGGTACCCTCCTCATCCTAGTCATATAATCCTTCCGGCCAAAGCAAGGTCTCCGAAAAGACGATCAACATTCAAGGTCAGATTTGGTAGCGGAACGGGCAAAAACATTCAATGCTTTAATGACAAAACTTGTTATCAATGTCATCATCTCAGTTCCCAATTTCTGTTATTTCTGTTACTGAGATCGTGACAGGGTAAAATAACAAAACATCAAAACATAGTCATAATGAAAAGAAGAGTTGTTTTGTTTTTTTTCCCCCTTGGCCAATTAAACATAGCTTGGCAAGGAGGGGGAAAAAAAAACCCAGTAACACTCTCAGAGAAGCAGCCTCAGCTTTAGGTCATAAGCTGCTTTCGAAGGTTTGGGTTGCCACAGTTACAATGGACCTAATTCTGTTGAATCATGAGTGATTCCGCGCTCACGAGTGATAGCATCGCAAGGAAGAGGACATGATCAGATCCAGGCCGTAGGCAGCTAAAGAACACATATATTTGCTCTTTCCACTTCTCATCCACGGTGCTGCTGTCCTGCCAAACTTGCAACACAACAAACAGGAAAGAATCCCATACGCGCTTTTTTTAAACAGTATTCACAGGGTGCATTGGCCTCAAGAGTCTGACGCATCCAACCCAAAAACCATCTGCTACAGAACGTAAGTAAAATATAACAAGAATCAGATTTTAGGAGAGCCTTCAAACATAATTATTAGTATGACAATATTATTTCATTTAATCCCCTGCAGGTAAGGCAGAGCTTCCCTCCCCGAGTATGCAAACGCTGCTCCGGACTCGCTCCGTTCAAGACGGTAGCATTACTTTGGATTGACATCAACAGAGCTAAGAGCACGTTTGCTGCTTCCTTGCTTGATTTCATTAGCCTGATCCCTGCAAGTAGTGAGGATTATTTTCAATAGTCAAGTGGTTTATTTTAGCTTCCCTTTATGGCCAGTGTGAATTTACAATATTGCACGTTTAAAGGCATTTTTTCATGTAGTGATCTTTAAAAGTGAGCTACCTCAAGAAGAACCTTATTAATTACGCAGAAACATTTCCCCAGTATGCTGCAGAAAAATATGTTTCTTTCCAATTAATTTGACATTTCAAATATCCGTAACTGTGGATTTTAGTCGCGCACAAAAGAATAAATAAGGACCAAGAAGAAATAGCGTAGCCTGGTTCTTCCAAGGGCGCTTGTCTGTGCTAAGTCTCAGTTTGATCTGTGACTCTCCAGCCCCCAGCTGGGCTCGAGCAAGCGCAGTGTACTAAGGAGGGAGGAGGAGGTGATTTTAGCTCTGCATACAGCACTGGCCAGAGCTATGCCGGAGTTCTAGCTGGGGCTTTGTGTATCCACGTTTAAAGCATTTAAAGGGGACACTAAAAAAGTCAGTCATGCAGACAAGAGCTACAAAGGCAATCAGTGATGGAAATAACACCTAATTCTGATGGACATGAACATTTCTATATCTAGAGCTTACCTAAAATAAGATTAAGTGGCAACTTGATTATTATGTACACATAGCTTCAATGGGAGAACATACTGGATATTAAAAAGCTCCTTAATATACTGGAAAAGAATCAAACAAGAAATAAGGCACAAAATGTTAGCACTGTAACATTAACAGAAAAGTGGATTCACTGAATCAAGCCTGGATTCTTTTCTGAAAGATTTGACTTTTGTTTGACTAAAATATAACTGTTCGGTACAGGAATAGCAGGGTAAAATGTAATCACCAGGAATTTACGGATTGTATTAAACTACCTAGCGGTCTCTCCTAGTCTGACATTGTATGAACCCACTAACTCCAGTGGGATTCCCGTGGACAAGCATGCTAAATACTCCCCCATTTCACCGATAAGAAAACACACAGAAGTAGGTTCAGAGCTGAAAAAACCTGCTGCAGCTCCAACACTATTTCCTTTATTCACGTCAGCCAGGAAAATGACTCAGAAATTATATGCCCAAATCAGTTTCCAGTGAAGTCAACTCAAATTTTTCCACAGTCCTCCGAACTGTTGGACAGGGCGCTTCTTAATTTGCCTGAAGTTTCTGGGCTGACGAGGTGCAGCCGCGCAGATGACGACACGCTGTACCCCTCTTAAGACAGGGACTTAACAGGGACAGCTGTGATCTTTCTGCAGGATTGGGGCCTGTGGCCTATATACAACTTATTAGCTTTAACTACAAGTCCAGGCTTTTAAAAATGGCTTTTAATACAAAATCGCAGCACGTAAAATAGACAATAGATGAGACTGCGCACACACAGAAAGCCATATCCTACCCCTGCTGAAGTCTCTGGAAGCAGAAATCAGTGCTGTTGTCGCTGTATCCCAAACGGGCACTTGGGTGCTTCAAACAATAACTCTTTTTCTATGCTGATAAACAAACCAAATCAAATAACAACAAATCTAAGCAGAACTTAGCGCAAGATATTCTTCAGTTTGTAAAAACATTTTGTACCATGAGGCTGAATAATTAAAAGCAAAATAGCACCAATCGTTATTTTATGAAATACCAAATAAAAATAATTAACTGCAGCAGCTCTCAAAGACGACTTCACTGTTAAACTCAAGCCAGTGTATCTGGATACAGCAAGTTACATACTTTCAGATAAAACTTTATTGGAAGTGGTTACAAGCAGGACAAAACAGAAAATGGAGGCAGTCTGACGTAACATAACAGAAACTACAAAGAAATAAATAACTGGGGAAGGGATACATGTAATTGCAGTGTCACAGCAAAACCAGAGTGAGAGAGGAGGAGGAGAGTCAAAAAAAAAAAAAAAAGTAACTTTTTTTAAAATGGTAGGTTTCGGTCAGCGTTACGGATGTACTGCAGCACAGGCCTACCCTGAACAGGACAGCAGGATCAAGGCGCAGGAAATCCTCCCCTCTGTGAAAGTGCTGAGGAAACACCAGATTTTGAACTAAATCCTCCAGATGCAGGGCAGGCATTAAAGCCTTGATCCTGCTGCCAGTGAAAGCAAGGGAGCGCTAATGCAAACGCTGGAATGACGCTAAAGAACTGTGTAATGCTCAGATGTGAAGAACAGCGAATCAGCCCCCTCACTCAAAATTACTACTCTGTACCCTTCTTCTGTTGAATGTTATGACCTTGCTTCAGCATCTGCTTTACTGTCCTATCTGCGGACATATACCTCCTCTTCTTCCACACAAATACAAAACTCCCCTGCCCATCACCTCAATGAAAATGGTCCAAAGAAACGTATCTAAGGAAGGAAAAGAATGACTATCAAGTAAGTTTTCTTAACTAACACCTCCTAAAACTGGAAAGGATTTCTTAAAGCAGTGGTGTAAACCATACCTTTGGCAGCAATTAAAAGTAGAACAGCAAGGCAGTGGAGAATATGTGTCTGTATAAATACGGTCCTGCTGTCATATTCTATTTAAGCTAATCAGTCCTAAGTCATTGCAGATTCCTTCATTCTGCATTCCCCGAGCCTATTTCCTTTCTTTCGCTTGCCAAGATGTTAACCAAACCCCAGAGGTCCCAGTTATTCATTTGAATGCTTTATATGAACTTAAAATTTAACTTCCACAGTTAGAAAAGAGAAATTTTTCCAAATCTTAAGGTCAGAGGAAGCTTTGTGGGTAAAGCCTATACCCCTCTTTGAGAATGTAGAGCATGCATCTTCTTTTCCACTTGCAAGGTAAGAGGAAGAGCTGTCCAGTCACATTAATTGGTATATGGGACAATGAGAGAAAGACCATCTAAAAAAAGAAATAAAAAAAAGTCAGTCCATGAGTTGCGCAGACTTTATGACACCTACTTCTGTAGATATGCTTTTTACGTAGTCAGGCTGGTGCCAAAGGACACCTTGCCAGCTGCATCTACTCGTTCCATGAAACGGTGTCCACATACGTAACAGCAGAGGACTGCTAAGCATGATACAGAATGCCCTAGCACACTTGATCCTTAATAATATTAGCTACTTCTGTAAAAAGAAATAGAAACCTAGAAGAAACAATGGCATTTACCCTTGTTAGGCCCTGTATCAGTGATACCTCCAGGAATTATAAACTCTCACTGCTCTCCAAACGCAGCTGAGGAATCAGGTACTACAACTTCCGTCTTCAAGGGGAGGCCAACCACTTTCCTTGAAACCAGCACTAGTGACATTTTATAGACCGAATGCAAACAGTGACATCCTCACAAGAATATACTCTTAAACCATACTTACACACCAAATGCCCGTTGATTTCCATTGAAATGAAAAGTTTAAACATATTTAAAAATCTGGCCACAGATTGCTATTAAAATTTGGTCAGGTCAGCTACAGAGCACATTCCTGACGCCGCTTTCTTAGGCAGGGTCTTTTTTTGAAAGCCGCTTATGCTGTTTCTGGACTCAGTATGGCCAATACTGTAATTAGATTGCCATAGTCAAACAATGTTGGCTACACTACCGCGTGCACTCTCCCTCATGTAACATGGTCCCTTCACAGTTTTAGGGCATAGCAGAATTCTTCCCATATGAGCAAAAGTGTTGCCAGCAATACTGCATCCGCATAAAGTTTTCTACAAAAGCTTTTATTGTGCGATGTGTGTGGAGTCCTGCAATCCTGTTGCTAAGAAGTGAAAGGCATTGAAGGAAGAGACCTCGAGAAGGAGAGGGCAGTGAGATGCTATACACGTGATCTTTTTTGTTATCTCCTCCACTGTTCTGAGCACAGGATGCCTTGTGATTTTTTCCAGTACGGACTTCTGGGTTTACCATAGGAAAGCAGTTATTAAAATAACAGAAGATATTAGATAGGAACTGATTACATAGCTTGGTATTTCAGTGCCTGGACAATGACTGGACTAGTCTTTTGCCGATAAGAACACAGGCACCCAAGAACAAACCAAAGTCTACTTCCATTTGTTTCTGTGGAAGGTGGAGAGGATCTTAAATTTCTCAGAGATGTGCTGTACAGCCTGTGAAACGTGACGCTTGTTAAATGAAGAATATGAAACACCGTAGAAACAAATAAAAACTGGCTTTCAAACTATTTGTTCAATATTTGCAAGGGTAACACATGGAGAAAAAAAATAAAGTGACTGATAACAGATGATTCTGAATTGTTGGCTTTGATAGCATGAAGTAAAAATGCAAAGGCAAATTAGCGAATGAGCAGAGCAAACAGAAGGCTTGGTCACCCTCACCCATACTGAAATACAAACAGAAAAAAATGTTCAAAAAATGGAATCACCTTTATTCAGCACAGCCTAATTTTTAGATTAAGCACACAGTACATCTTCGGCACATCTCATTTATAGCAATTTTTCCCGTGAGCTTGAAGGTAAAACAGAGAGGGTACTAGTTAAGTGTGATTATGAACCACCTACTGGATCAAGGCGATTCTGCTGCAGTATTTTAAATTATTATTTATATCACACTTGCTACCAAAAGGGACAAGGGGCACTACGTTGTAAATGTAACA